AGTGAAGAACAAGGAGCCAGATTCTTGTCAGTAGTGCCCAATAACAGGACAAGAGGCAATGGGCACATGAAAGTCAATCAGAACATCAGAAAAGGCTTTTTCTCTGTGAGGATGATCGAACACTGGCCCAGGTTGCCCAGAGAGGTTGCAGAGTCTCCATCCTTGCAGTTTTTCAAAACCTAGCTGGACACGGTCCTGAACAACAGGCTCTAGGTGTCACTGCTTGAGTAGGAGATTTGGACAAGATGACCTCCAGAGGCCCCCTTCCAACCTCAACTGTTCTCTGATTCTATGATCCTTGCTGTGAGCATGAGACACGTAACTGGATCACACCTTAAATTTCTCGCAAGGTTGCTGCAGCCCCTCTCTCATCCCCCAGTCCTGGGTGTGGCTGGTTGACGTGGCCCATTCCTGACACATTGAGCAGTGGTATCATAGCACAGGGGAAAAAGGGTCTTGAGCATTGCCCTCATCAGTTAAAGGCAGCAGCAGCATAACCCCTGGCTATTCTTTGTTGTGAAGATCAGATCTCCCAGCCCATGTCCCACCTCCCATTAACATCCTTGAAGGATATGCGCTTCTTCACCCTTTTTTTAACAGCCATGGGTTGGCTTTTGAGGGAAGATGGTATCAGGAAAGAGCAAATTATGTTTCATTTTTGATAAAGCTTTGCTCACTTCAAATCAGAATTGAGTTTAGGCTTGGGAGCTTGTGTCAATGCTATCCAAGAGTCAAGATTTTCCACAAGCACGTTGCAGAGGATGTGGTTGCCTGGACTCCAGCTCAAAATAGAGAAGAGAATGCAGGCTCTTGCCATCTTTTTTTAATGGTGTCTGTTCTGTCTGGTAAAGTGTTGAGTGCCTCATGGCAATTGCTGACTGCCTTTAGCTGTCGTTGGCTTCACTGTGAGATAGTTCCTGATACATACCAGAGTTCCTAAACACGCTTCATGACTCACTTCAAATCTGGCCCAATGGAGAGTCAAGAAGTGGATTAGTTTAAGCTTGATCAATTCTGGTGAAACAGAGTAAATACAGAACTTTATTTAAATAAAAAAATCCCTCCTTGGAATTGATTGATGCATATGTTCTTTCTTTTGCTTTTTCAGAAACCAGAAAGCATGTAAATAGTAGTGTCCTGCAATGTGTCCTTCACCCTTTTTATAATGAGGTCTGAAGCCTGCATGTATTTTGTGGAGCACATTGAAATCTAATGAGACTGACCATCATTTGACCTGTACTTCTGGTCTGACTGGCTTGCTGGCTATGGGTTACATGTCTGCTGCTCCCACAATCTGTGAAATACTATATTGAAATGGAAATGGCAGTGCCCTAATTTTTTTTGTGCCTCTATTTTTTATATTCAAGATGTATTAACCTGTTCCCCTGAGCACAGATGCATAAAGAACACTCGTAACATTTGATCATTTCATTGCTTTGCCATTCATTTCTCTCTCGCTGTGCCACAAACTGACTTCTAAGATCTATGTTGAACTGTATCCCAGACAGTTACATATTAATCATTTTATCGCTCAGTTTCAAGTTCTCTGGAAACAGGAATTCCAGAAGGAAAAAAAAAATACAGTCATCAGCCAGTATATCATGATAAACCAATATCTGGTGAAGGAACTTCGGTATTTGTCACTTTTAAATGACAAATAATACTAGGTGGCTCTATTTCCTACATTTGTTAGCATTCTTTTTCAACAGGTGAGTTTTAAACTCTGACTCTACCTGCTAGCCATGCAGGCAATATAGTAAAGCAGATGTGTTACAGTTTTATATAAAGTTGTTGATCTCATTTTTTGGTCTCATTTGCACCTGTCCTGTGAAACAGCAGTATGTGCAATCAGAGATCAGACCCCTTTTAGAAATTGCATGTAAATCGCATGTGAAATTCATGCTAAGAAAGGAAATCTTTGAAATAAATACCTCTTGCCACGCAGTGATTTCTTCCTACCTGTGTGCTGAGGCACATCTAAAATGAAAGAAGGGAGAATCTTTACTGCTTGTTTTTGGAATTGTTTTAATTGTGAAGCACACCTGAAATGGAAAGCATGTTTGTTCAAATCCACATTTCTACCCTGTTCTTAGGACCTGAGCAGGTTCTTCACTGACTGATTGATACCTATGTCTTCTTATTTCTGAGGAATATAACACCTCAGGTTAATTTTCTGACCTTGTCCCTGGATGGCTCACATTCTTCTTTATGTTTCTTCTCTGTTTTTTAATACCTTTAACTGAAAAAATAATACTTCTATGCTTCCTTGAAATTGAAAGAACTGGGTCTAATTTAAACTAGGGCTTCTTTTCCAATGCTTCTTGTTATTTGGACAGTCATTGTGCTTCAAGGATTCAGTCCTTCTTATCCTTTCTACACAGTAAAAAAGTTTATAAAGTTAATGGTTCAAGCATGAAATGTGCCCATAGGCAGATTTAATACTTCTGTGAATTAGAGCTTCCTTCTTGATTTGTACAGCGTAATTGAAACTGAGAACTGATGAATGTGAAGGCACCTGAATAAATGAGACCCATTTTAGCCTTTGGTGGTTAGAGAAATGTTGTCCTCATCCCACCTTTATCTAAGAGCAAGATTCAGAGCTTGCTGTGACTTCTTGTTGAGTCTTCCTGTGGAATGAAATTTCATTAAATTTAGTTTTCATTTTCTCATTAAAATAATATCTGTGTGTCTGGCACCACTTCTAGTGTTCTCCTAGATTGTAGGGTCAATGACCTGCTGATCTCCCTCTAATTGTTCAAGTTACTCAACAGCTAAGTCAGATGACTCTTTGCTTAATAGACATTAAGATTCAAGGAACTGTGATGGATGGTTTGCGGCAGCCTGAGCCAGCACAGTTATCTTCCTTTTCTTTTCTTTGGAGTCCTTGCTTCTCCCTTACACTCCCTTGCTCACCTGACCCTGCCTTGTGTGAATGTCAGTCATGTGAAAGCTATTTTATTTTGTATTGGTTCACTTTTCTACTGGCTTAGTACACTGAGGTGGCTCAGCGCAGACGAGTGGAGGAGCTTGTACGTGACAGGGAGAGAAATCAGGGTTGGACGGAGAAGATGACAAAGGCCATGGCCTCTCATGAAACCACAGCTTAATGTAGCCCCAGTGTATGTAGACATAGATTGAACAAAACTTCATTAAAATTCTCTCAGAATTGAAGAACTGATGCTGAATTAAAATGCTGAATTGCAGAGAACATTGCTTTGTTGTCTTTTAAGAAATGTAGCATCTCAGAAAGCTCTGCCATGCATATGCTGCAAGGTTTGTGCATTTAGGATTCCCCAGTGGCTACGCTGTGAGACTCAGAGGACCGGCATGGTATGGGCAGAAGCACTAAATATACACGATGATGCTATCGTGTTACAATCCCAAACCAGAGGCAGGAACATATCTGGGAAGACAGGGACTGAACAATACCATGCATTTTCAAAGGCACATCACCTCCATTCTTGAGAAGCATTGAGCATGATGTAGCCCTGCACCTCAAAGTCCTGTTTTCCCTACCCTATATATATTTCAAAGGTGGGAGGAGATGTAGGCTTACTGTAGCGCAGAAGCCTGTCAGTGGCTTGGACTGAACATCGCTTACAATGCTAATATCAACTACTTTGAATACCACAGTAAAAATAGTGGAGTCAGACCAGATATAACAGTAGCTTAGTCACTTGTGTGGGAAAGGATCCCAGAGCACTGACTTCTCTCTATGGAGCCACCTTTTTGAGGTCGTTCACTGTTGTGATGTTGGTGTGGCTGTTTGGATGCAGTTTGGCCAAGGTGAAAGTTCATGTGAACTTCGTAAGAAGTTCTTATATGTGTATAGAACTTTTGGTTGCACTTGAGGATATGTATGTTTAGCCTGTCTGCTTGGAAGTGAGCAGGTGAAACTCAGTTAAAACTACAGCAGGAACAATCTAATCTATGTTGTTTGGATATTGCATTGTTTTTTCCTTTTAATCCTAAGGAAACTATTCTGATAATATATGTGGTTGGTTAAGAGTTTGGAAGATGAGTGTGCAGGAAAGAATGATGCAGTCTTGAAGTGCTGGCTTCTTCAGATAGGTTTTGGGGTTTTTTTAATGTCTTGGAGAAACACTTAAGATGTGAATGATTACTGCTCCTGGCTGAGTTTGGATGAACTGAAAAAAACAGTAGCTGAAAGCTTGCATTGACAAAGTCTCTAATACGAAAATATTTGGGTATCTCCTCTGTAGATCTGTTTTTATCACCCAGACTGGTCAGGCTGGTAGAAGCAGCAAGATTAGTAAAATAAACAAGTAGATTAAAAAAATAAAATAGCTTTTGTCCTTTGCAAGCCGACAACTGAAAGAAGTTGTACAATAATGCTTCATTTTGTGTGACAAAGTTAGCATATTGAAACTTTATTGTATTGGGAGTGGGGTGAAATAATCAGTTCCTCCAAATGTTTATATTATTTTCTATGATACTGCCTTATAGTCTGCTAATACTCCTGTTCTGTAGGTGGTAAGAAAGGAAAGGCAAAACTGTTAGCTCAGTTGCAGCCAGGTCTTCTGATTTTGCCTTTGAGAACTTTCACTAAAAGGAAATAAAGGCACATGTCTTCATGGGTACCTTAATTTTTACAGCTTTCAGTGATTTCCTTCTGAAAGTCTGTGGGGTTTAGATGCTTCAGTTGCTGGTGCAACTCCAGGCACTCAATATCACTTCTCTATTTGAGGTCTCTTGTATTGTACTTAGAGACTTCTTTAGGTTGGATTCCTCAGGCTGAAACTGCTGCTTTCATTCTAGCAGTTGGCTCTTTCCCCACTCTTAATGGTTGTTTTAGCTCAGTTAGCAACAAATTTTAAAACATTGTTACCATGCTGATTACTTTGTCTTTCATTTTGTTGGAATAATCCAATTTACATTAGACATTTGTCTTCTAAGTGCCATTTCGGTGTGTTTAAAATAATCTCCCCAGCCCTCTGAGCACCACTGTAAAAATCTTTTATGTGCCTTTTGTCTTTCAGATCTCACTGCTGATTGGATTCATCAGTGTAAATTATTCTGCATGGAGAAATTACAGTGCATACAGCTACTTTCAGATTGTCACCATGTGGGACTTGGTTATGATTTTGTTCTTCTACATCGTCCACATTTTCAGAATCTACAGGAAGCTCACTTGCATTAGCTGGCCTCTTGCGGTAAGTCTCTCAGATGGTCTGAGTTCCTTGCCTCTCTTGTAGGTTGATGTCTCAATTACTTAGTCCATTTTCTTGTGCTATCACACAGTGATAGGCTGTCTTTCAAGTACTTTTTTTGCCTTGTATACAAATCCTTTTGTCGCTTTTGTTATTAGTATTACAGCAGATGCTGTAATTGTAAGTTCTTTAGCTGATTTGGGTCTGATCCTGCCCTCCTTTACACAGATATAAGTCCAGATTTACTCCACGGAAGGCAGTAGTGTTATTCTGAGACAACTGAAAAGAAGCTGCTGATTATTGAGCCTTCAGCAGATGGGCCCTAGCTCAGGTCATTTATAGTAGTTAAGGGATTGCTGGACTACCAGATCATAGCATTAGAATTCATGTACTACATCCTGTCCCAAAATAAAGTCTGTGAGTGCTATTTAAGTCAAATGTGTCTCTTTTTGGTATGGTTTTAGTTAACTTAAACAATAGCAAGAAGTAGGAGCCTCAGTCTGATTGCCATAGCCTGGCCGTTCCTGGGATATCCTGCAGGATGTTCCTGCCTCATTCCCACATTTCTCCTGCATGTCCATCTCTCATATCCTAGCAGAAAACTAACAAGCAGCACAGAAAATGCAAGACCTGAGCTTCCTCAGTAGCTTTGGGTCAGGTCATCTAACAGAAGAGTCCTGTGTCCTAGTGTGGATGATGGATGTTAATAACCTCTTGGAACATGTCTCCCTTACGCATAGTGACATGTTAATTCCACAGAGGAAGGACCAGAGGGGTGGGGAAAGCCATCTGGAGAGATACAGAGGGATTTTGAAATCCAAGAAGTGGTTGGATGGCATTTAATGGGAGTTTTGTAAGCAGTTTACAGATTTGAGATAACAGTTTGTCCATCCATCCACTTCTGTACAATTTTTCGTTTTAGCTGAAGAATATGGTTAGGCTTGTGCCCCTTTTTATTTTTCAAATGTGTAGCACCACTATCTGTCTCTAGAAAGCACCTCTTTATCTAGAGGTGATACAGATGTAGGGATGGAAATAAAGGATTGAAATAAGCTAATATATTACAGTTTTGCAAAGCAGCATTTAATGTATGCATTTCTGTGACAGAACCATGCCATTTTGACATCTGCATAGGCTGCTTTTGTGGTTTTTTGTGTGTTTAATCATTTCTGAATGTTCCAGAGTCACTAGTGAGTTAAAGGCACAGCAGTTTGTGGCTGCTCAGCTTCAGATAGCTAGCTTTATGGGATGTGATGTGTGAGCATTGCTGCTCTTTTATAACCAATCTCCTTTTCAGTCACATATTTAAGTATCTTTAGAACAGAGTAGGAAGACCTCTAAGAGACTTTGGGAAACTACAGCTAGTGTTTGGCTGAGTTTCCTGGCAGGATCTCTACATTGCAATCAGGGGTGTGATTTGCAGTCAGTAAAGTTGCAGAGGTTCAAGAGGTTGTACAGCACTGACACTTTTTAAAGCTGGAAAGTATTTTTCCGGAGAGGCACTGTCCTGGTCCTGCCAGGGGTTGCTTCTCCACATAATTTAGCCTTTGATGGTTCTTTTGCACCTTGGTCCATCCTTCGGATTCCTCTAAAGTAGGAGTACAGTGTGTGCACTGCTTTACTGGGTGTCTCTAAGGAGGCAATGGCATGCCTGAATTGCCTGCTGTATCATGGACTAGCCAGAGGAGCCTCCTTACGGAAATAATTTATTCTAGCAAAAACAAGGATTCAGATGTTGATTACTTGAAACAAGGTTACAAATGAGGAGAGTTAAGTTGCAGTCTCAGAGACTGCTTTGTGGCAATGATCCTCCTCAGCTGTTTATAAACACCCGAGCAGAGGGAAACTGTGGTATTGTGTGGCAGACTATTTCTCTTCTGGGATTTCCTTCACCAATGTCCTTTTGGGACTATATTCTCTCTCCTTTGTTTTGAGAAGGAATCTCTTCTCTTCCATATACACGGCACTCTCAGAAATACCTGTGGCGTCATGTTTTACTGCAGGACAGCTGCAGCACCCTTGCAGACCTAGGAGCCTGGGTGCTGGTTATGAGTGTCTGCATAGTTGTGCCTTTTGTGGCTTCCCTCCTGTTTCCAGTCTTGGTTGATGCAGTTGTTAGTAAATCCAGCAGTAGATTCACTGCTTAACTTCTAAGATTATCAGAAATAGGAGCATTTGGTTTTCTACTTATGCCATTTGCTGCCATTTATTGCCATTTCATATATGTGGGAACATTTCTTGAGCAGAATGGACATGATGATATGATGTTGAAATAGTACAAGGCTGAAGACATACAGTACGTGACGGGAGGCATGCAACTGAGATAGTGAAGCGACCTTGAGCGCTTGAAAAAGAGAAGCTTGGCAGTGAAGCAGGAAGTCGAAGAAAGAACTGAGCACAGCAAAACAGAATGGAGGTGGAGATGGGCAGCATAGCTTTAAACAATCATGTATTAGCTTAGCCAGTATTGACAGTGCATGAACATGACATGCAGCCAATCATTGTAATGGATGGGGTGTAATCACTTAGAAAAAGATATATAAGTCGTAAATTTAGAACAATAAACGTCTTCACTTTATAACTCTCATAGAGTTGTCTGGAGTCCATTATGTGTCTCCCCCTCACATATAGGCTAGAGAAATATGCCCTTAAGGCTTCTTCCAGGACTGTCTCTTTAAGTAGAGTGCATGCTTGGTGCAATAAAGATACATGTTTCACACTCAGTAATGTATGGTGTTGAAAGAATTACATCTATACCCAGTAAGTAGATCTTATACCAGTGACACTAGTAGACCTGAAGATTCGCCTTCTCTCCCTTTTTGAAGAAAAGGTCAGGTATGGTACAAAACCCACTCACAAGGTGTTTTTATAACCTCTGCCAACTTGTTTGCATTCTGAGGCATATCGAAATGCTTTCCTGATAAGTTTCCCTTCTGATGCAGACTGTGGTTGTCTTTACAGGAGTTTCTTCATTATTTAATCGGTACAATTCTGCTTCTTATTGCATCAATTGTAGCAGCCTCCAAGAGTTACAATTTGACTGGACTTGTGACTGGAGCGGTAAGACTGTGTTTATTAGTCTTGACACTTTTTTAATGGCAATATATATTAAGTAGGGCATTGGTAATCTACCACTTGTAATTTTATTTTCTTACAGACTTGCCTTGCTTGTGTCTTGGTTAGGTGAACTACCTTCTAGCTTGTGTCAGTGAATGTTCTGTAACACAATGCCAACAAAAATATTTTGTTTTAGACTCCAGACTCACCACTAAAGTGGGTATTTGTCCTGTCAGAGAGTTGAAACCAAAGGCCTTTGCTTTAACTAACAGGAACTAATGTGTTTAGAGGAAGAATTGTAACAATTTGGTTTTCACAAATGACTGTTGTAGCAGCTAGAAGTTACCTAAAGGATTTCACTCCAGTCTTTGGCTTTTGATGCTTCCTGCTCCTCAACAGAGCTCTGTTCAAGACAATTTCTCCCCAGCTAAAACCCACTGGGGTTCTGGGATGGCTTACTGGAAGATACTCTCTGCCTCTGTTGGCTGGAGGGCTTTATAGAGAGAGGCATGACTCCTGAGTGTGGGCAACAGTATTTTCACAGCAGCAGGACTTGAAATACAAGTCTTCCGGAATAAAGAACTGCTTTCAGAAACTTAGCCCTGATGCAAACAGACTAGAAGACTTACCTGACTTGTTTATTTGACATATGGCAGGGAAAGACTTGTTTGAATGAGGCAGTAGAAGAGTAGTAGTCAGAGGTGCTAGAAAAAGTATTTTCTCTGTTTCAGAATCCTAGTGAAAAGTCTAGGTGAGTCTCTATACTACTGTCCAGCTGCTTCTCCCTTCTTGCACATGACTCTCAGTCTACCTTTCCATCACTGTTTTAACAAGAAGCTGCTATTATAGTGTGGAAACTTTTTTTTTTTAGTATGTTGGCAGAAGGGAGTAAAAAGATAACTTTTTTTTGGTCTGTTAATATCATCAAATATGTAGCTGAATATACAAGAGCGTCCATACATTCACGGAATGTGTGTCATCTAATGTTCTGTAAGTATTTGTGGTTTGTTTGTTTTCTCATCCAGACTTTCGGGTTCCTAGCTACGATCCTTTGTGTTTTAAGCATATGGTCATCCTACAAGGTTTCATGCATCACGCAGTCTACAAGTAAGTATCATGCTTAAGTAACTGCCAGAATGCTTCCCAAAATGATTATTTATATTTTCTGCCACAGGGCAGTGTCTCCCTGGAAGGACTTACTAAGCTCCTGTTTGTTGTTAATCAAAATTACTCACAAAGCAATAATTCCGTATTTTCTGTCAACACAGACATATCCCAGCTACTGACAGCTGTTAACAACTAACTACAAGAGAGAAATAACTTGTTTCTATCAAGTAGTGAATGTATCGGGTCTTTCTCTTCTCCCTCCCCCATCCCCTACGAAAAGGTTTCCTGTCTGTTCCTTAATCAGGTAGATGAGTTTGTATGGGGCAATGGAAGTGACACTGTCTTCCTTTTCAAAGATGCATCTGTATGACTCCTTCACTTCGCAAGATGTCTACCTTACAAAATAGGATACCAAAGAGGAGCGTCCACTACTGAGGGGAGAGCATGGGTGTTTTGTTACTTGCCTGGACAACTGGAAGCTTTTGAAGATCTACTCGAACGCCTTTGCAAAACAATGTTCTGAACCAAAGTTTTTTTGCCCCCCCCCCAAAGAAGTTTATAATGGAGGACCTGCTTTTCTGAGCTTTACAGAGAAAGACAGCTTCTATCTCACAAGCTGGGCCATGGTCATTTCCAGCTATTTGTAGTAAGTGCATTCAAAACTCATTTGGAGAGTCATTTGGTTCTCCTTTCAGAGAGGCAGAAAAATTGCTTCTGATTTCCTCCATCTGTTTACAAAAGGGAAATCCTGCAAATTCCTACCTGATTCTTAACTTCCAAGGATGATTGGTTTAACAAAGAAACTGTTACAAACTGATTTGTGCCTGGATAAGCTGACCCGAGTCTTTGTTACCTCTTTCTATCAGAACTGTGGACTCTTTCCAACATCAACTCTGCCAGCATCCAAAATTATGAACTGTAACTTGAATACATCACTGCAAACACTCCCTCCTAGCCCTAACAGTACATGATTAAATAATTTTTCTCCATTAATTTTTACAGGGATTTTAATAAAAAAATTATTCTTAAAAACTTTACCAAATACAGGAAAATACATACCCAAAAAAAAGTGTTTAATGGTTTGTGGGATCTTTTTTTTTTCCTTTTCACAAATACTGATTTGTAAAATGGGTATTTGTAAGACCTGTTCTGTGGAAAATTTATGCGCATTTTCTATAAATTATTCACTTTGGAGTCAATATTTATGGAAAGTCCACTGTGAATGGAGCAATGTGCTGCTTTCTCTCTCCTACATGTGGTTTGTCCCTTCCTCTGCCTTTGCTGGGAGCTGTGCTTTTGGAGACTCTACCCAGAGCCTGGACAGGCAGAACAGTTCAGTTTTGTCCAACCTGGTGGTATCATGAAGTTCTGTGTAACTTTGAGGCTGACACAACGCCTTCTTGGCACCCCTGTTTTTCTGTCCTTTCGCAGCCCATCTCTGGTGAGCTGGAAATGCTTTGCAGGAAAAAGGGATGCGCAGGCTGCTAGCTGTGAAGTAGAACTTGTACTTATGAGTTGGTCTCTTCTGTCAGGACAGCTGCATGATGATGCAGCAGCTTTCTGCAAAAAGTAGAATTTATTCCATTTTCAGGTCCAATCTGGAGGAAAAAAGCATTTTCTGGCCTGCTATGCATTCTTCTATTTTTCTGAAATTCTGCACCAACACTGCTAAGTAATTTAATGGTCCTCTCAGAAAATTATTTTCATACATTGCCATTTGTTGCCACCTTATCTTTTTTCTCTCATCTAATAAATGTATCTTTACTTCCATATATTTTTTTACTCTTTGATAAGGAAATTGGCCAACTGCTAAAGTGTCAAAAATTTTGAGTAAGTAAATGAAAATAACTGAGCAGATAACCTGGAAAGGTAGACAATACCCTCCTCATGGTGCACAGTTTCTGTGATTCTTCTTGCTGTTCCTTTTCATAAGTGCCTTATTTACAGCAGCAGAGAGCAAAAAAACAATTTGAAAGCACAAAAGTCTGCTGTTTGTGGATGAAGATAGATATATTCACTCCAAGATGAACTGCTTTGACATTAATATAGAAGATTATTCAAATAAAACTATATAACAAGCAGTTTTAATGATATTAATTTCATGCTATTTTGTTTCTTTACCATGTCCAACTTTGGCTTGCTTTTCTGCCTCATGCCTTCAGGTGACATATTTTGTGTTTGGTCAGAAATGGGTCAGTTTTTAATTTTTAATGGCCAGAATTGAGCATGCCTCAAGGGCTCTCTGACTTAAGAAAACAGACATCCTTCTCGGCTAGAAATCCTTTGTCAGCTGCATCAGTGATGGTTCAGGCTTCCTTGCCCTGTCAGCACAAGACCAGTCCTAAGGACATACATCACAAGGGACTTCATTCTGGGCATCCTCAGTGAAAACACCTGCAGAACATGGTACACACAAACACACACATATGTAGATTTATGGTTGGTTGGGGTTTTTTTTGCAACAGTTTTTTTTGATTATCGGTTTTCCTGCCGAGACTAACTTAACCAAAGTTTTTGAAAACCAGCACCTTGACTTTAATTTGGACTGACATGGTAGATATTTAAGGATACAACCTCTTCTGTTCCCCTGGAGGAAGGTGAAGTGCTCTATTTCTGTTGTTGTCTCCTTCATCTGCTGAGGTATCACTTTGGATAGATAGTAATCACCTTCCTACAAGATTTAACCTCTCTTGGCAATCCTGTGGGAAACCAATGTTCTGCTGCACACAGTGTGAACACAGTTGAGCCTGCAGTGCTGTGGTGGCAGTGGGGAGAAGCACCTGCTAAGGATTGGGGCTGGAGCCTAAGCTTGCTCTGAAGAAAAGGCTGCTTCCACTTTCTGCTGGAATCGTGCCCCCTCTCCTGGCATTACACCAGCATCTTTTTTTCAGCCTCTCATGTCTCTCTGTCAGTTGTCACCATGTGAGGAGAAAAAAAACTTAGGGGAAATTTCATGCAGTCTGACAACCAAAGAATTTCTGGACTATGCTCTGTGATCATCCAAAGAATATGTTTTGCTGCAAGTGCGTTTGTTTATACTGGATGAAGAGTGGTAAATTACAAGTTCCGTTTTGGGTTTTGTGCCTATTAACAGGCTTAAGGTATGCCTGCAGCTTCTGCTGCTATGATAGTGCTGAGTCTATAAACCCACCAGATGCTCTTAATGCAGGATGCTTTCAGGCTGGAAAAGTTGATATCTCTGCTGCCAAAGCTGCTTCACTTCCCTCAAATCCTCCTTGTGAAACATGTCTGCCAAGAAAAGCACAGGTTTTACTGGTATCACCAGCTCTACTGGGGGTCTTTGAATGACAGCTCTGTCTGGCAGGGATTTTGGCACCTCAGTACTGTAGCTGTGCCAGCAAAAGTGTTTTAAGTTTCCCTCAGTGTCAACCTGGTTCTGAAAGCTCCATCTGTCTGCAACTTTGACAAGTGTGGGATTCCAGCTGTTTTCAAAATAAACTATGTTCACTGTTTGGATGATGTAATGGCTTTGAGAATCAGATTGTTGTCTTACCCGTTTTGTTTTGACTTTCTCTCTGAGGAGTATCAGAATACATCCTGTAACTGGAGGAGAAGAGATAGGAGTCACAGAATAAACTACCTTTGTCTGTGGGTGTGCTGCTCTCTGACTATCCCACCCCAAAGTTGCCCATCCTCTTCAGCTCAAATATGAGTGTAGTATATCTTTTGAGCCAACACAGGTACAGTTTGGGGTTCAGTTTTACTAAAAATTAAAATGTCAATGTTGGGAGAAGAAAATAGGTAGTAAAAACTGTTTCATACTAAAAAAAACAACCCAAATTCTGATGTTTAAGCTCTGAGGGTTTGAAATAATAGTACTTTCATCAGGTGGAAGCTGGGTAGATGAAAAGAGGAAATGAAACTTTTTTTTTTAAAAAGGAAGGGTGGCTTTGAAAACCTTGAGGACCTCAGTGCTGGATGAAGACTGCAGGTTATGTGACAGCTTGCATACTTCTCCTGTTGCTCTGAAATGGCTGTGCTTTGCATTGTGTGAACCATGAAGGAATGGGTTCTTGGGTCCTAAAAGGCTTTGAGAAAGAATTCACTGTATAGAGTATGGAGGGGATGGCAGGACACTAGGATAACGATAACTTAGTTTTTTGGTTTTGATGACTGGAGTGGGGGGGTGTTGAGTGAGGCTCCAGGGAAGAGGACTAGGAGCTTATTAGGACAAAAAGGAGTAGGAGACAAGGAAGAGCAAGTGCAAACATTAGTAGAAAGCGTATGAGAGGAGGAACTAATGTGAGCATATCAGGCACTAATAGAAGTGCTGGCAGATATCAACAGTTTCTGGCTGTGTGAGTACTTAAAGGGCAGAGCTGTCTGGAGTGATAGAAAAGTCTCTTTTCTGCTTGCCTGCTTCGTACATTTCATACCCTGCATCTGGGATTTTCACGTTCTGCCAAAGCTGCAGGAGGATGCACTAAACCTGACCCAGAGGCTGAGGAGCGCAGCCTCAAGTTGCCACACGTTCTGCCCTGTTGAACTTAAAATTGCTTAAGGCTCCACTGTTCTTAGAGACAGCGTGGAGCAAAATGCTGCTGCTGAGTGTGAGAGGCCATGGGCCGGCCAGTAGCCTTGGCCCTCCTTCTGGCTAGTGGCAGAAGTACAGACTTGCTTTTAGATTGGGTGTCACCTGAAAGCCAAGAAAAGCTGGAGCTACGTATTGCTGGGCCCTACTGATGAGCTTCACACTGGGCTGGCATCCAGGAGGTGCTGCTGGTAGTGTGTGATGGGGAGAAGCAAGAACCAGAGAAAGAGTCTGTGGGAGGCCCATGTCCTGCTCTTTCTGCCTGTGGAAATTCACACTCAGGTGGCAGAAGAGCCCTCACCACAAAGCTCTAGGGTATTGTTAAGCACCTCTCCTGTTTAGGCCACTTCAGTTTTCAGACTGGAGCGCAGATGCAGGCACCATGCTTACCTTTTGCTCCTCTGCAGATGCACGAGGCTGTACCCTCGTGAGGCCACCCTGTTGGCAACAAGCAGCTCTTCCTTT